GATAACTTGTGAGTACTGTGTGATCTTTAAAATGTTATGATATATAAATTTTAAAGAGAGAGATTCTGTGAGTGAAACTAATTGATGTTTCTGGAATGAGTGTCCAAGTAATCATCGATCAGTATATTACCATGTAATTTTACCTGGTGTATCTAAAATGACCCATGTTCTGTGTTGGACTTCAAACACCTTTCTTTTAATTCTGGATTTCTTGAACAACTATTGAAGAAAGTTTCCAAAGTTTTGTGAAAGTTTGAAAACTACTATTTTTATAGTAATATTAAAGAACCATAAAGTGTAATATGTCATTAAAACTAATTATCCTCAGACCAAAATTCTTTATATAACTAAAGAAAAGGTTTGTTGCTAAATAAAGGGTGCATAAATGGCCTTTTGTAAATATAAATGAACAAAAGAAACTATTGATTTAGAAGAACCTAAGGGAGAGTAGTCACCATGTCCTCATGTATCTTTTTTATAAATTTTGGTTTTCATCTTGCATTGTTCTCAACATCCAGATTTTTTTAAAAAGAATTTTATTATTATCAATCTATTAATTATAGACATATGTAAATATGTTTGTTTGATGATACTGTGGAAAATGGAAACTTTTCCTTCCAACATTTTAAAAGTAAACAGAACAGCAAATTAATCCCTGAATGATTTCTAGTGAAATGAGGGTAAATAGAAACACCAAGAAGCAAACCATCCTGATTGCCTATTAAAATACTCATAAAATTCCTAAAATGTAAATAATCACTGTAGTCCTCATGGGGGAAACATAGCATTTTATTTGTAGAATAGATAACATTGTAGAAAATATAAACCCATGGAAACCTACAGGCCCCATCAGGCTACGAGGCCAGTGGTCAACACCGGGCCCTCCACACACTCTGCTGTGGTCCTTGGTCTCGACTCCAGAGATGGCCGTTCATCATCTGGCCATTGTTCCCTTAGCTGTGTCTCCTTTCAAAGAGTTAGCACAGAGGACAGATTCAAAAGGTCAGAATTGAAATTCAACACATGCTTCTTGAGTATTCACTTCTTATGTGCCTTTCAAATGCCTTTCAGGCAATGAAGAACTTAAAACAACTTGGAAAACTGCAATGAGTATATGATAAAGTGTACCTAGCAAATCAAACAGGGTTGGTCGGCAGTGGAAAGAAGGTCTCACTGAACTGAAATCTAGATACAAGGAGTTGCCAACAGCCCAGAGGTCTGGAGAGAAGGGGAGCAGAGCTTTTAAAGACTGCCTCTAAGGAGCAACAAATGAGGCTGGTCTGTATGGTGCCAGGGGACAGTTTTGCAGAAGGATGGTGTGAAGCAGCAGCACCGGGGGACAGATCAGGGAGGCCCTGTTGAGACTTGAGTCAGGAACAACCAGACATCAGGACCCAGGAGTGTGGAGAATGGAAATAGGAAGGCAAAAGTGGAGACAAGGAAATTATTGGTTGCAGTGAGCTGATCGCTTAGACTAAGCAGGGAGTATGCAAAATGGCAGAAAAGGAAATGAAATCAGGATCTGCTTGGAGATAGAATCAACTGGAAGATGATGGACTGAATACAAGACTTGAAGGAAGGAAATCAAGGATGGCCCCCAATGCTAGCGGTATGGTGTCAGGAGGCCCAGGGTCAAGTGTGTCATATAATGAGAACAGAAAAGAGACTTGAGGGTTAGACAACATGAAGGTCACTGGTGATCTGGGAAGACACACCTGCAGTGGAATGGTAGACAGGTGGGCTGAAGAGAGAACAGGAGTGAGGAAGCACAGACACCTTTATCGTGGACAACTGAAAATGGTGCGAGGCTGGCAGAAGCCTCTTCAAAAAAAGAAAAGTACATCAAAGCAAAGTCAGACATATTAAACAGAACACACATGATATCTCCTGTTTGAAAATGGAAATTCAGAGGATTTCCCAAGGCCTAGGCCACATTCTTCACCCAAAACAATATAATAAAAAGAAGAACCCTAGAAGATATTCAAGCAGTAAATAAAGTTATATACAAAAAATTCACCCTGTAGCAAAACAGAGAAATATCTATACTATTTCAAGTAGTTTCTGATCTCAAAATATACCGGCAAGTTATTATACCATTAAGGCAACAGATCTACAATGATATCAGATATGCCAGCTAATTGACAAATGGGTCAGAAGAAGAACTCACAGGAAAAGAATTTCTGGTAGAAATGAACTGCTGTGGTCAGTGATCTCGTAGTTAGAAACCTAGAGGTAATCTTTTCTTTCTCAATTTCTCTCCCTCAGCCTTTCATTCAAGTTTTCTGCCCTTAATTGCTTCTTTCTCTCTGTCTCTCTTTTATTCTTTATTCCATTGCTTTTCTTTCTTACTTTTTAAAACTTCTGAGAATAAAAATCGTGTGTGCTCAATATTTATTATTTTAAGACATACTGTGAAATGGGAAGGAACAAAAAAAAAGAAAAAAATGCAGCTTTAAGCTGCTCAGAAAAGATGCTGTTAAAACATAATGTCAGAGGAAGAAAGGAAGGTGGATAAAAAAGATACAGTAGACAAACCAGTTACGGCAATATTAGTGTTTGAGTAGACTAAGACAGCCTGCATTAGTAATGATAAAGGGGATGGAGACATCGGGATAAATGGAACAATCACCAGGAGATAATAATAATACTGAATCTCAATATGCCTAACAACATAGCCTAAGAGGCAGTGTCATGTCTGCAGCCAGAGGGCTTAGGTTAAGATCCCAGCAACCCCTCTTACTAGCTGCAGACCTTAGGCAAGTTATTGAACCTCTTAATGCCTCAGTGTATCCAGCTGAAAATTGAGATACTGATAATCCTTACCTCTTAGAGTTGTTATGAGGATCAAAAGAACTGATACACATAAGTATTTACAATAGTTTCCCATATCAGAAACATGGAATTTTTTTTTTTACCATTGTTGTTGTTAATGTTGTTGGTATTGTGGCCCCAAACCATACAAAGAAACATAGCAACAGAATTCCAAGGGAAAAGTTTAGCATGTCAACAATGTTAGTAGGAGATTTTTAATTTGCTTCTCTAAGTGACATAAATTTGTTTAAAAACATTTGAAAAAGACATGAGATAGCCACAATAAAATATTTAAACAGGGTGTTCTTATCTTTCACATCATTGCAGAAGAACAAGTGAGTAAAAAAAAAAAAATCTACATTTTAAAAAACCTGCAAAAGAGAAAGAAACAATAAATGTAAAGCAACAACCACAACCAAGGGCCAAAAAATAAGATGACAGAAATAAAACTAAATGGCGATAAATGTGAATAGCCTAATGTATTAAAATAAAGAAAAAGCCTTAGGTAACATTAAAGTACAAAATTTAATAATTTGCTATTTTTAGGAGACATATGTACAATGTGACAATGGGCTAAAATAGATTTAGAAAAACATCAATAATGTAGAAAAAATAAAGTACAGATGACGTATTATTAAGAAGTTAGGCTACAGTGTAAAATTATAGATAATAGCATTGTACCTTTTAGAAGCTGAATGATGTAGCAATTTTTTTAATTGTACAAAATAGTGTTCCAAAATGTCTTCAAACACACAAAAATCCTTGAGAAGGTTAGGATTAAATATGTATTCCATAAAATTTTAGTGTGACTACAGTAAATTCGATGAATATACAAGGAACATAAAATAAAATTGATGTCTGTATAAACCTCCCTTTGGGATCCATTTTCCAAGGTCAATTCCAAGAGGACATCTGAACATTCAACTCCTGACCCCTATATCCCTAGTTGGCTGGGTGGTCCATGAGCAGACTGGAGAGAGACCTCTCACTTGGGATACCGCAGGACACTTGATTTACCCAGATCTACGGTGGACACTTGGAAATATGGCGGGAGGGTTACCAGTTACTTGTTTCCAGGGACAGGCAGGTATGTGTCTGCAGACTCCAGAAAGCTGGGAGACAGCTGGGAAGTATAAAAAACCCCTAATGGAGAAGGTGGTTGCTCTAAGGTCTTGGTTGCCCCTCATTTAATTACAAGGTGATCATAGGAAGTTGGGTACATTCATAAGGACTTGAAGGCACGGGGAATGTGCACCTTTTACTGGAAATGCTGTATCCTTTGCTCTATAAATGTATTGGGTCCGCATTCTGAGTCTGTTGGCTTCTTTCCATTCATGATATCACCATCCCTTCTGTCAGCTCGCAAGTAGCAAGCCAGGTCATGGATACTCTAGACAGTGAAGGACCTGAGCTACAACAAATCTCCTGCAGCTCCCAACACATCATAGCTCTTCTCAAGCCCAGGATTTTTGTTTCTCTTCCCCATTGGTGCTGCATATTATTGCAAAGATCAGGACAAGAAGGCATGGAGCTGTCATTGAGGGTGAAAAAATGCAACAATGGAAAAAGTGATATATCCCTGTTCCCAGATGAGGCAGGCTAGAGAGCCTGGGGTCTTTTGATTTTGAGATGTCTTGATAGGACCAAGATTCCGTTTGTCCTGCAGACACCAGGGACCATTCACACAATCGTATTTTATCCCTCGTTCTCACACTTGCCAGGTCCCGAAAAGATACATTTCACGAGAATATATTAATGTGCAGTCTCTGTTAGATTCTTATTAGAAATTCAGATGCTAATCTTTTTTCAACTGTTTTTTTTTTCATTTTACTTTTACACATATCTTTCAACATACGTGCGATGGACTTCTTGAATCCTTTTCAATATTGCATTTGTGCCGAAGAGTAAAGTATTAAGGAAGAACCCCAAAACAAACACTAAAATGCTCCCAGTGTCGATGACGTATGGTTTTTAACCTGTTAAAATGTGAAGGGCAGTGATTGTGACCCCCTTGCTCATAGAATAAAGACACAGAGATGCACTTCAGGTTGTGAGATGAGTCGCTTTATAAACCTTCCCAGAGTCCTGGAGAACGTGCCCCCCTGAGGGGGCTGACAGCTTCCTAGCTGGTCCAGCCATGCTGTGCCTCACTGGTGTCTTCACCTTGCATTTCTTCTCTCTCCTTTCAGGTAGAAATTGAGAAGCTGGATTTCCATCATTATTTGCCTCTGTTTTTTGAGGGGCTCTGTGAAATGACATTTCCCTACGAGTTTTTTGCTCGGCAAGGAATCCATGACATGCTGGAACACGGGGGGAGCAAGATTCTTCCTGTCATTCCACAGCTCGTTATCCCGATAAAAAGTAAGTGAAGAGGTGAAAAAGCATCATTCAGCTTATAAGGTGCCGCTTTTTGACAACTTGCTAATTAAGCAATAAACACAACAGACTGACGCTTTCCCCAGGTTTTGCGGGAATTTTATAAATTGACTTACAGGACCAGACATCCCGAATCTACTATATCCCATTACTGATACTGCACCAAAGCCTCACCACATAAATAAGCTAAATTGCATGGGGTTTATACTAATTTAAAATGCTTCCCAGTAATGACACAAGCATTAACATTAATGTATACTTGCAGAAGTCAGGTATGTATCTTTGTATTAAACACCACCAACTAACTTCCAAGTTCTCTTAAAATGGCATCCCTAATTTTTAAATTGCAATATAAACCCAATCATGTGTAGTTGCTTTTAGGTAGTAGGATTCACAGTTTTAAGGGAAAAAAGTCTGGAATGGAGAAGAATTACCGTTACTAAATATTTGAAATTTTTTACCTGTAATATAGGGAAATTCTAGAGTGACCCTGTCATTGACTTCATCTCTTTGTTTATACAATGAAATGCTTTCTTTCTATGGCCAGATTCTCTAGGCATGAGTCTCTTTGGACAAGTTGGCTGAAAACAGCCCCCTCCCAAAGCATTGCTGAGATTTGCACTCCTGGGATGGCCTGTAATGGCTCCCAAACGAGGTCGAAGTTGCTTGGGGTCCAGTTTCCTCAAGTTGCTCCACAGCAGCCGTTGACCCTTATAATAGAGCCATTGTACAGGGACGGGACTCCAGGTGGGGACGGCTGGCCTCTCAGGTCTGAGTGGCCAGGTCTCCACCATTCACCATCACGCCCCGTGCTCTGTGTCCCCTGTTGTCCATCTGCACTCCGCTGCTGCTCACAGAAAGCAGAGGGGTGGCGCCGAGCACCTCCTGGCCAGGGATACCCCACCGCTTTGTAGCCACAGCTGCCCCAGGCCGCTCTGCCTCATTCCCTGGTCCAGGAGGAAGGACCTCCCGGAATGACTGACAGTCCCCTGCTTAGTCTCCTAGCATCTGGGGGAACCCCACCCTCACTGTCTCAAAGGTACCCTTGCCATGCACTTTGACCAAAACAAGAACTGAATGGTTCAACACTGGGTCGTTCCTCACACCTGGATTATTCAGTCTTATCCATGGTGACCTTTTTAGTGATTTGGATCAGGCATCATTAGAATGCTAGATTTGAGACTGTTCTGCTGTCTCTGTTGGAAAGGAACCAACCCTGAAATTTGCTGTCATGTTTTTGAGATTTGTTTTGGTAAGAGATCTGTAACTGACCACTCCAGTTCTCCCCCGAGACACAGAAGTAAAACCTGGCGAAAGGACAGGCGACCTGCTGTGAAAAGTAACATGGAGAGAGACATGACACTTTAAAGCAGTTTCCTCTCCCCTCATGCATCATCAGTGGAGTGAAGGGCTCATCTCTGAAGTTCTTCAAGAAGGATATACAACCCTGAGTTATATAAAAACGTTTCCAAATGTGATTGATTCTAACAGCTCACAATTTTTGAATATGTTAAATTCTAGTTAAAATGCCACATTTTCTACAAGTTTTATTGACAAATAAAAAGGCCCAGGACATTCTTCCCAGGAACTATCTTTACAGTACATGATCCTTCACTTCCTGACCCAAGCAGGATAGCAGCAGCATCCAGAAGTCTGTTCTTTTCTTTAAAAGAAACTGATCTCATTAGAATCACTGTCTTCTCGGGGCTTTTTCACTCATATCTCCTTTGAAAACACTGATGGGCAGAAAGAGAGTTTCTAAGTGATATTTTGATATACTGTTGACAATTAAAACATACCAAAGCAGAGAGCATTGCAGACCAATGTGAACCGATTTTTACTTTTGTTTGATCTGCATTTTAGAGATATTTAAGTGAGTTAAAAGAGAAGTGATGTGTTCTAAGGGCAAAATTTCCAGTACACACATATGAGAGTTAATTCACTCACAAGTGAAAGCATTATTAAGAACTCCATAAACATGTTTTTGTCAGGTAAGATGAACTATATATGAAATTAATAATTCAAGCTTCTAGAGGCAAAATTTACTCTGGTAGATATCATTCTTTTCTTCCTGGACTTCTGCTATTATATGCTGATCCTGAATCTAACTTGGCTTGTTTTCCATCTATTTACATCACTGAAAGCCAAATTTTTTTTCCCTCATGAAGGAGTACTGATTATGTAAGATCATCCACAGTCCCAGAACAGTGTAAAAAATATTATGTGCAAAACACTAAATCTTTCAGGTGAATTCTGGAATGAGGCTAATTGATCTAGAAGCAGGCTGATGCACATAATTGGCATAGCACATTAACAGAGGTGTGTACCTTGTTTTCAAGCCATATATTAGTATGAGTTTGACTCTTTCCAGGGGCAAAAATTAATCTCACTATCACCAGCTAGCAGTTTTTGAATAGTTTTTCTTGAATTCTAACTAATATCAATAGTAGTAAAGCAAAATATATAAAGTCCCAGCAAGGGTAAGAACTGGGATGAGCTTCCTATATACTTCTAGAATCTGGGATTGATGTCAGTCAATTACAAGGCTGGTAACACTGATCAAAATAAATAAGGACACATTCAATGTCTCTAGTGAAATGTGAAAACTGGTATGAAGACACTTTTCTTTCTCCTTCTGTCTTTGGTTCAAGACCCCAGGTGGGGTCATTCAGTACTAACCAGAGGAGCACACACCTAACATCTCATTCCATTTATGCTGCTTTATGACCCAGTTATAGTTGTTCCCCTTACTCCCTACCTTTTTGGGTTTTTCTAGGTCAGAAGCTCCAAGAAAATACCAGTATAAAGTAGTCAGGGTTGGCAAGGGAGCACGTATGCTGAGAGCAACTGGAAACCTTTGTAGGCAAGGATGAACTGAACTCTCTCAGCAACCTGAACTGTGGGCTGCAAATTTCCATTCACTCCATCCAGTTAGGAAAACATAAATCCACCAAACTCCAGCAGAGCAATTTCAGGGAGGAACCTCTAAAAACTTTGCATATTAAACTCCGAAGGGGATTCCAATGGTGGCCAGGAGGATGAAGAGATGCCAAAGCAACCACAAATGGTGGTTGTGGGAATCTCTGTCTTCAGTAGTAGCAAGAATAATAACAATAACACCACCACATGGGGCCATTCATAAAAGACTGCTTCACACAAGGAACGAAATATCTTGAACAGTGGCAGCTACATTTAGTGCAGCATCCAGAAGAAACCCATAGAAACTTGCATGAAATCCTCAAGATGAAGGATAAATGTGGCTTCTAGGAGACAGAGGCGGAAACCCACAAGAGAAGACTGAAACGAAGATAAACCAGTGCTGAGTGAGAGCAGGGAGACTAAAGACGGCAGAGCACAATGCACATCCCCACGGAGGCATTGAGAATGATCATCTGTGCAGCACCAAATTGACTGTGGACACCACCACCTTAGGAAGCTCTCTCAGAAAAGCCAAGTCTATAAAAACAAGGTGGGGAAGAATATAAAATGGGTAACACAGGACATAAACAGGAACTAACAGCTATAGGGAGTCCCAAGAGGAAACATCAAAACAGTGGGAATAGAAATGATAATGACAGAGGTGATTGAAAGAAATTTTTTTCTGAGATAGAAAATATCCCTGATTTTGCAGGTAGAAAAAGCATATTGCAGTCTAAAGAAAAGAATAAAGAGAGATCCGTATCTAGGCATATTGTGTCAAAAAGCTTAAATTATAACACAAAGAAAAGCCCTTCAAACATAAGGATGGAGGAAAAAGCTACACCCTAAGAAATAAAAAATAACTGGGCTTAAGAACTTTTCAAACATGAATCTGAGGCAACATTGAGAATCAGAAGAGAAACACCTTGAGTACATTCCAGCCAGTTCATATGAGCAAAAGACATGATGTATATAACAAGCTGCATGAACATTTGAGGGGGAAAAAAAGACTTAGCATAATGTCCACCTACTTGTGATACAGGGGGTTACTGAGTATATGCTTTAACTCTCAAAAAGTAAAGCAAAGTTAAGAACCCCAAAATGAGGATGTCAGAGTGTGAATTAAGAGCCACTAAATCCAGAGTTATGTTTAAATAGTTTATGGAAAAGAGTCTGAAAACTGCATGACATCTCAAGTAATAATTTTGGAGTTACTGTGTATAAAAGTTCAAGGACCTTGGGTCTAAGCCTTCCAAATCAATGGACAAGATGCAAGTAGTCAAAGCAGAGCCTACATACTAAAATGACAAACGCTGAGGAGAGAGCAAGAAAGTGCTGTGAGTCAGAAGCACAAAATAAGGTGAAAAACATGAAATCAAATATATCAGCTATGACAATTACCTTTCCAATTGGTTTGTGGGGATAAAAACTGAACATAAACTCTGTGTATATAAAACTAAATACTACTTAAAGAGTTTAAAAATAAAAGATATATTGGGACAAATGGGGAAAACAGAAGGAAAGAGCAGTTGTTTTAATTGAAGAAAAGCAGAATTTAATGTAAAAAAGTTTCACGTGTATAAAGAGGATCAATTTATATTGATAATGTTCTAGGCCAAGATGTACTTAGCCTTGGTTCTTGGAAAGCCATGGCATCATGTTTAAAACACAGAACAAAACAAACAAACAAAAGAACCCCAGCTGCTTAAACTTTCCTCTGGAAGAAGAGTAAACCTTTTGACTAAAAGACAATATGCTATTGGTCCTTCCTCCATTGCCTGACCTTCAGCTCCAAGATCCATGACCTTGACCCATCCAAGTGGAAAGCCGGCCTCTACAGCAGCACGTTCCAAATCTCAGCATGCATGTGAATCACCTGCAGGCCTGGTGATTCCAGCAGGTTCCACACAGCAGCTGTGAGATGCATCTGAGAGCTGGATTTCTAATAAGCCTCCAGTGTCTGCTGCTGCTGCAGGGTCAAGGCAAGGTGGCCATTGCCAAGATTATGCTTGACACACCAGATTCTTGCACAGATGCTGGGAATGAGAACAAGGTAAGGGTTGGTG